GTGTATATTCATGTAACCGAAGCTCGATAAAATGTGTTAAAGGAATACTAATTTGAATCATTACTAAAATTTTATACTTTACATTTGCTCAACTACCAATAAAATTTCCGGAAGTTTACTGTCCGGTGATGTTCAATAATGTAGCAAATCACATAAAATTCTGTTTCAACATTTTGAACTTCTTAAAACGTGTACGGGTACTGTCAAGCCAGCCGTGGCAGTCATTTGAATGATGCTGTGTTTCATTTTTAAAATAAAATGTCCAATCGTTTTAATAAACTCATATTTTTGAAAAAAGTATTCATTAGGGTTTTTTTAAAGCCGATTCAAATTCCAAAAGGTAGATGGCCCATCCTTTAGAAGCTATCAGAAGCCTCGTAGTAGTCATTCAAGAATTAGTCCAGCTTACTTTTAGACTAACGTTCAAGTGAATTGAAATGTTAACATTAACTTCGGCACTATGAGAGTTTGATGTCTTCTGCGTAGTAAATTTTTAATTCCGAAATTGTGAATTTAAGATTACGAGTGAAATGCATTATTAAGGCAAAATTTACGGTATACGTGTTACGTGAAGCAGGAAAATGTTCCTTTTTGCTTTTCCTCTCCATTTGTAAATAGTCATATAACTTGGAGTAGGGATAAAAATTCAGATTTTCATCTTTAAACTCTTTACTCAAAAGAACATTATGAATAGTTAAACTTCAATACTATGGTTTCATTCTCAATAATAAATTTATTAGTGTGTTATTTGTAGTGGTCAATAACATAACAGCTAAGTGTAGAGGCCAGACCTTTTGATAGCGTGCATGAATGTACCTGTGTGTTCGAAATGTTTAATAAATTACGCGTTGTTGCCATCTAATAGATTATTAAATATATTTTTATGTCAAAACATTAAAATGTGTAATAATAAGTAATAATAAAACACTTAAAATATTTACCGACATAAATTTTCCTTGTTTTTGCCATTTTTATGTGTTAACTAGCTACTGCACCAATGTTCTGTTTCTATACTTTGCCATAAATCATGGGCACCAATGCAGTGTTACTACTTCCTCTTAGGGAGGAAACTAATGCAGAAACAGACAGGTGAAACCGTAACTAACTAAATATCAACTGAGAAACTAAACTCTTAAGAGTTTGCTAATTACCACACTTTTAGTGATCGTATAAGTGAATTTTTTAATGCATTTGCGTTGTGAAAAATTGCATCCCGGGACCGCGCCGTGAGAGGATCGAATAACAACATGTAAAATCATATAGATATAACATATACAAGATATATAGGAAAAACATATTACAGTATATAAAGAAACATACTGTAATAGGTTTCCAGATTAAATATCAGTTTATTCAAATTCCTCAACCAATAAAAATTAAAATCTTATCCTCATCAGAGGTCTAATTTCTATTGTGTTACCTTTTAATTTACTTATTTTTTAGACACATGGGGAATTCTTCAATTTGTCATTTACTTACTTTTTTTTACCATTTAAATTCATGATTTGCAAATCTATTACATGACTCTTTTAATTTAACGGGTACCCGATCTATAATTTCTAAGAGGTTAAGGAAAACATATTATTTGCAATTCACATCTGTTCTAAGGAAGATTACACAACAACTTAAATTATTACATCCTAATTCATATAAAAACCTTAAGGTTTGTCTTGGTAATTTAGAAGGGGAAAGGGAAACAATTGAAAGCCTGAGAATTAATTTAAGATTCGACGTTGTTATTTTACATTCCAAGGAAGTCGTTGAAACCTTAATTAAAGTTCAAACACAAAAAAAATAGACTTATCTTGTAAGGACGTCTTGAAGTGGAGGACTCGTATCCTAATAAGCGTTGACGTCGGCGGGGCTCATTTTTACGGTCACAAATGGAAGTTTCAGAAGACATCGTCCTGTCTTGGCACTATTGGCGAAACACACACGCAGGTAACTGGTTTTCATAACGACGAAGCTATTTTTACTCTGGAAAACAGAAACAGGAGCACTGCTGCCCAGCACGGCTGTCCGCCCGGTCTTGAAAGTCTTAAGTCACTCGCCCGGTTCAATTTCGCCTTTTAACCAGAACGCGGCAGGGGAGCATGTTTGCAGCTTCCGGCCAGAAACGTCTCTCTAGGCAATTACGGCTCGCCTGTTCTTGCTCATCCCAAGCAAGCTTCAAGAGTAACGTCCAAAGTAAGTTCCGCAAGCAAGTCTTGCCAAGTCTCGCACGAGAAGTGATTCAAACTCGAGAACGCGGCAGGGGAGCATCTCTCTTCGTAAATTACATCGTTTAGAACACTCAATCCCAGAGCAAGTTTCAAGAGTAACGTCCAAGGTAAGTTCCGCAAGCAAGTCTTGCCAAGTCTCGCACGAAACGTGTCACACCAAAAAGTGATTCAAACTCGAATTTTCTTCGTCTCCTTCACAAACGCGGGCTCCCACTATGGCTTCAATTATCGCCCCCATAATTTGGGCAAAATTTGCGTTTTCAATCGCCAAAAACCTGAATGACTTACATCGAAAGTCAAGTGGCAACCTCTGACCCTTCTGTCACGTACTTCCTGTCCTAAGGTCAACTGCACAATGAAATTCCTTCTAGAACATTCTAAAGGACAAAGCGCTCGAAATCATGACTTAGCAAAATTGCCTCCCTTTCCCTGCTTCTTTTCACAATGAATCAAAGCTTGTACAAAAATTGCAAATAAAAGAAAAATAAATAATATTCTTTTTAAAGTAAATAATATTTCTAGAAGCATAAAATTAAAGCATTAAAATAAATAATTCAGAATCAAATAAAATTAAGATTTCCATAAATCAAAAAATCATTCAGCTAGTTTTTATAACGCGATCAGACAAATTCTCTACACAACATACGTTAATATTTTATGATAAACAACATTCACAAAAATTCTAGCCCGTTTCATTTTCAGATTACTAATTCATCATACTTAGTACTCTTACAGCTGTGATCCTCAACCACTTTATTTCGAAGTCGTTATTCTAGAGAATTTGATGGTATATTATGCAAACATGAAATTCAGCAACCGCCCCGCTTCTTCATCTGTACAACAACCAAAATCAACATACAATGGGTAAATCATTGTAAGAAGGATAGTTATAGAAGAGATGAAATCACGACAGCAATATATTTTAATCATGTATTGTGGCAAAGCTTTACTTGTTTCCCACACAAAGGATTTGGCGTTGATTTTACGACTTATGCTTTGATACTGTAATCATGTTTGTGTTTCGAGTGCAAGCTACTTCAGTATGACACTGTCCACTATCTCAAGGTTATTTGTTTGGAAGAGCACACGTGAACTGGAATTAAAACATGAGAGTGACTACTATTTAAAGCTTTTGTTTAGAACAAGATGAGTGAAAGAGAATTAACTTGAGAACAGGAAGTCACGAAAAGCTAGCTATCTTTGGAAACAAAGAAATTGTGTGAGTTTCTATATATATAGCTCTCTCTCGCTATATATATAGTTCTCTCTCTCTATATATATATTTTATATGTCTTACAGACATATATAAATATATATATAGAGAGTTAAGATAGCTTTTCGTGAATTCCTCTCCGCAAATTAATTCTCTTTATATATGTCTGTAAGACAAAAAAAAAAAAAAAAAAAAAAAAAAAAAAAAAAAAACTGAAAAGCAAAATTCTAACTTAAATTTACTCATTAACCCTTCATTCCAATTTATTTTAATTTCCGTTTTCTATTCTAAAATAAGTAATTGGTTATAATAAACATTTCTGCTGAGCAGCTTCATTTCTAGGTATGACTTTTACATAACGCTCTGACAAAAATAGCTTACCCATACTTTCAGCCCATAAGGATTTTATAACTTTATTAATTATCGAAATTAACTCATTCTGGATAAAAATTTCATCCTGAACGCATCACACATCGTTTTTGACTCTCTGCTGTATGGATTGCTACTGCGTTGCTCTTTTCTTATCGTAACGATAACAAAAATGTAAATCTTATGAAATAGGCGTGATTAGTATACGAAACTATTTGGGTCGCAAATGTTTAATTAAAATAAAAATGAGTATTAAACTTGACACGAATGCTTCTTATTAAAACTGCCTCGGCTGCAAAGTTTGCTTTTCATTATGGGTCAACGTTTACACAGTCAACATTTCTACATCATTGGATCAAAAATACGTTTATTAGGTTCTAAAGTCCATTTTACATTGCTTTACAGTAAGAAACACGGTTTGTTTTATAATGAGTAAATTACTGTTTTCAACTAATTTAATGAACACGTAAACGAACATTTTAGGTTTGGTATCAAACGTACGACCGTTTTTATGATATTTGGCAAGAAATATTTAACTTATATTTTAACAGAAAAAGAACTAATTCACTTTTAAATGGGACTATTCATTTATTTCATATATAATTTAATGTTATGTTTCTGTGTCACTTCTAATTTACATTTTTATGTGTAATTTTGTATGTTTAATATATGAGAGAAATAATGAATAAATTACAGGGTGTAGCGATACCTAAAGGCTATATCTTTGAGGAAAATAACTTTCTTTCTTTGTCATTCAACTGTATATATTGCACAGAATGTAAACTTTCATTTGTTAACGTTCTAAAGCGTTTCCCTAATAGGCTTTCTTATATCCAATCATTTTCCTCTTTGAAGGGGATATATCTAAGATAAAAATTTTTAAAGCGAACATCTGATTTTAACTGGCTCTTTACACACTATCAAAATCTCCCTCATCTTTGTAAAACCTTTTCCTTGAAAATTTTAATGATCATATTTCGTTTAAAAAATGTGAACGAGGTGACACTTTGTGATATTAAGCAACATTTTTCTGGTTCATTCTGTGAGATATCAAGAACAGCTTAATCAGTTACTACTCTGTTTGTAATAAATGAAAATATAGAAAATAAATCAATAAAATAAAAAATATTTACAAAAATTTTAACTGAATAAGAATTTAAGTTTGGAAATGAATTTTTTGTTTTGTTTAATTTTAGGTTTTCTACATAGCCAGAAAATAGGAAATAATCAAAAAGGAGGTTTTCCTGATTATGCGGTTCTGGGTCCAGGTGGGACATCTCTTTGATTATATGTTTTATATGGCCTTTTCTATTTGCCATTCATCCTGTGAAATTCTTGATGTTGTTCTTTCTTGAGGCTGATTTCATTAAGAATGTGTGTCTTAGAGAAAACTAATTTCAATACTACATACTTACAGTGTTCGAAGTAGATGGTTAATATAATTATTTACGCACACTCACATATTCATCCTTAACAGTTGCAATTACAAAATTTCCTCAAATCAAATTGAAGGATTTTTGAAAACGCTCAGTTAAGAAGATGACGAGGGTTCTGTGGGCATAGAAATCTAACTTTTGATGTAAGAGTAAATATTTCAATTAATAAAATAGTCATAATATATATTATGTCAAAATAGTAATCAACAATAGCATAAAATCCCATTTTTAACAAATAGTAATGAAATAAAGGCTAATGGTATACATACCTAGTTCCATTTTAGCATTCCCATCATAAAATTTATTCAAGATTAAGAATGAAGTTAATGAACTGATTTTGGAGATTGTTGATTCTGCCCTTGAATGACTTTTTTAATTAAACTTAAAGCTGGCCTCTTTGTTACTAGTACAAATATTTATTAATTGTATCTGCGGAAATTTTGTATGTAAATGTATGAAAGGCTTTGTATCGAAATGATTAAAAATGGAAGAACAGTTTATTAATTATGATTTTTACTCTAAGAAAAAGAAAATACATTAATAATTTCTAACGGCGCTATCTCCATCATAAAACACTATGCGAACAATCAATACCATGCTGAATTATCTAGAATGCAAAAATAAGAGTTTATTTACGCCATGAAACATTATCGTAACAAACAAAGGTGCCTATACTATTACGTTTTTTGAAAAATTTGATTTGTACACCGCATGATTTTCTCGTACCAACCTATTACGTTGCACACACATTTGCTGCACTTTATTTAAACTCATTTTCTCAAATTACTTTAGCTGGTTCTTCAAGGTAAGTTGAAAATGCCGTCAAAAATTGCAAATTTTTAAAGGAAACACTGCGGTTAATTTTTATCGTTCGGGAATCAAACTTCTTAATATAACTGTATTTTTTCATAACGAGTATAAAACTTTCCCAAATTAAAGTATAGGAACCTGGAAACCACATTAAAAGCCAGATTTCGTTATTTGTCGAAAATTAACTTTTTACAAAATTTGATTTTGCCAAAATATGAACAATTTCGTCATTTAAAACATTTCTGCATTTGAGAGTAGAATATACGATTATGACCTCAGAGACTGCGAAAATAAAGGCCGGGTAATGGTGTTAAGTCGGTAAGGGGCTGGGTATATACACTCAATGCGCAAAAATAACAGAATTTGCATATTATAGCGAATTTCTAAAACACTAATGAACAGATTTTTAAGGAAATTAGATATGAACATACATTTATAATGGAGAAAGAAATGTACACTGCGAAAATAAATAAATAATTAAATAAAAGGGGGACAATTCTATATCTACTGACTACTGAAGGGTAACGCAGTACGCGCAAGATGTACACGATTGAAAAAAAAAAGGACAGTTCTGTATATTCCTTTCTACTTGGCCGATTGACGAAATTCGAATTCGTTTTTCATGTCTCGAAAGCGCGACTTCGGATATATGTTAGATTTATATATAGCATTATTCTAACCTAGGTATTTTGACACAAAATCAGACATTTTCTGTAATGACATTCCATTTTTCCCATATTTCGATAGTACGACTCAAATTATTCCTAAATATTATGAGTAAAATTTGGTGCGAAATTTACGAAAAAAATTAAAAATTATCTTGGCGTATTTTTTCAGTTTGCGCCAAGAATAATTTACTTGGCAAACTTCTTAATTTATAGCAACCTATTTTTTCTTTCCTTTTTTGCATTGCAGTGAGCGGAAAAAAAGTCATCGTTCATACTTTAATATAATTTTAACAAAGTGCGTAAACCACATTTGACGTTATTATCGTTAAAAAAAAAGATGCCAAATTTCAAAATGCTCCAATATGTACTTTTACGTATATCTCAAAAAAAGTTGAATAAAAAACTGTAATTTTTTGCAGTAGTACCTAGAAATACATCTACTTTAAGAGGATGTTAAAATTTTTATAGGTTGTAATAAAACAAAATTTCGAAAAATTTATAAAAAATATTTAAAAACACAAGTTTTAAAAGTAAATCATAAAAAATGTGCGAATTATATTTGTATTAAGCCTAAATTCTGAAAGCTGAAAGAAGGAAACAAGTAAGTTTAAGAAAAAAAAAAGAGATATTAATAAATATATATCAAATTCAATTAACATTGAGGAACTAATTTTTTGAAAAACTACAAGGGCGATTTTTACAAAACTTGGCATTTGAGCATAATTTGAGTCGTAGAGTCGAAATATAGAAAAAAAATCTGGCATGTCATTTCAGAAAAAGTCCAATTTTGTGTCAAAATACCTATGTTAGAATAATGCTACATATATATCTAATATATATTCGTCGCTTTCGAGACATTAAAAACGCAAGTTGAATTTCGTCAATCGGCCCAGTAGGAACGGGAGATATAAAACTGCCCCCTTTTTTGTGCAGTGTACCAGTCAAAAGCCATTTTATGTACCCTTAGTTATTAGCAAAGATCATAGTGCAGGGATATCCAAAATTCACGTTGTGATGTCAAACTGAAAATGAGTCTAATATGGGACATGGTCCCCTCTCGCAGCCAGATAGGTCGAGCAACGTGACGCCATATTGGACAGGACGCAAATGAGGAGACCCTGTTGTAGTCGATCCTACTCCTGCAGAGAGGCAGTTTTCAACTCCGGGATGTTTCTCGGAGGGGTACGTCGAGATGAAATTGCCCTCTCAGTAGCGTTCCAGACATTCTCTTTATGGTTAAAGTCAGGAGATCTGGCTGGCCAATTCATGCGACGAATACCCTCGCTTTCCAGGTAATCTTTGTTCAGCTGAGCCCTATGTCGATTAGGTTTCTTGTCTATTAACAGGAACCCAGGATAACCTGCCCCCTTAAAAGTCGAACATAAGGCTCTAAGATGTCCTCTCTGTACCTCATAGCAGTCAGAAATTCTTTTGCAGACACATACAAAGATGTGAGACGATGCAAAATAATGCTTACCGAAATTGTTTCACCTCCACCACTGTAATGATCCTTTTCCCTGTTGAGGAACGGATGGTGTGGTTTCTAAGATCTCTCCAGATACAGGTACGCCTAGAATTAGTAACCAGGCTGAATCTCGACTCATCTATAAAACGTATGGTAGTCCACTGAAGTGTGCACCAAGGCGCAAAACCCGTTCTCTTGGTTGCTGCAGCGAGCGGGACGGAAACAGCGGATCTTCTCGCATACAGTCCTTTCTCATGAAGGCTTCGAGCAACAGTAAACCGTGAAACTCGTATTCCAATGGCATCATATTTTCACGTGAGAGCTGTGATGCTGTAGCAGTCCTGCATTGGCGCTGCAGTGCTAAATAACGGTTGCTCTGGATCTTGGTCGACCTTTTCCAGATCTTCTCGATATGAATTCAGTGTCTTGAAACCGTTTCCGCAAACTACAGACACCAGTGGGCGTTAGATTGAGCTCTGTAGCTATTTGTGCTCGTGACTGACCTGCCCCTAATCTACCGACAAATCTTCTCATTTAGTAATTCATGCGTCCGTGGCTGCTCCTTTTACCTGATACCTTGTAAAATTTACCCGTCTTGCTAGAAACACGGCGAATTTGTGAAGGTGTACGAGAATACAAATCGCTGAAAACTTCTCATGCGCTTATATCCCCTCCAGAATCACAACTCCGCAGACATTAAGTGTACGCTTACGTGTTCGACTGCAAATATTTGCATAATTATTCGGCGGCATAATTAGTACCTTTGGTTCAATACCTTTTGTAAAAATAGACATAATTTGCAAATACTGTTAATTTTGCAAAGACCTGTTTATCTGCATTTTGAATTCTACGAGATTCATCTATACGCAATATCTACAGACGGCACCAAAAATTCTTTTGAATAATTTCAAATCCATTTTACACTTCGTTTTGGAAAGAAGAGTAATTTATTTTTTCTCTACCTACAGAAGTAAAGCCAAATATCTTCCAAATTTCCTTTGAAATATGATACCCGAAATTTTTCGCATCTGCAATATTTCCTTTAACTTCTAACAAGGAAGCAAAAAAGGAAAAACAAGGTATCAATGGTAATCTCGGTGTATTACAACAGTTGTTGAAAAGTCTATATGTGAAAATACTTTCCATTTTGAGTTGATAGTAACACGCTGCCTGTTGATAAGTATATCGGAGACATCATTAAACATTTCTTTCTTACAGGAACCTGCAGATTGCTACGAAGGATCTTTAAGATCTATGTCAACCAGCGTGGAAGTTTTTTAAAACTATTTCACTTTATGAGGGCAGGGAAAAAAAGATTCTTTCATGAGGAAATACCATTCTTTTTTAATCGTTATTTCATCATGCATTATCTTCGTTTGCTTCTTTGAAGCAAGCATGCTTCATTTTCTTTGAGTGTATATAGATAAGTTTCTGAACACTGGTAGTTCGTTCCAGATCCCAATTGTGACGGGAGTGATGGCTATTTAAGGATGTTCATGATTTTCTCCGTAAGTACGTAAATGCGAATGAATTTCCTTGAGAAAGTCTTCAATTAATGCAACGCTATCATTAAGCTGTTACATATCATGCGGCTTTTCATTTTCAAATAAGCTAATCAGAAAATCAATCATTGTCATTTGTGAACGTATTAGTTAAACGAAGTACACTAAAATCCATACAGTTAAGTCAAGCATAGTGAGGTATCACAACCTGGAATAGATTATATACTTCTAGTGACTAGGCGTTATATTGATATGTATTTTAAGCAAGTTAATTTTTCAATTACAGTTATAAACAAAGGTTCTAATTGTTTCTGGGGGTTCAAATTTGCTTCCTGAAGCCAGTGAATGACATAATTATTAAGGCGAACGAAATTATGTTTCATAAATCTGACGCAGCAATTCGTGTACATCCGTAAATGTCGACAAACTTCTAATCTGACGCAATAATTTTATCACTATTAATTATTCCTAAAAGCTGTCGCTTAGATTGCATTTCTAGCAGCAAAATATGAATTTAAATTTCTTTCGTCAAAATACTGTTTTTATATGAACTTGAGTAACATTTTCAGGTCCTGTGCTACCGGAATCTTCTCCGCAATCTAGAGTTGAAAAATGTGGTACTATTTTGTTGGATGAATGCTTGAAGGACTTACAGACGTTTCTGAGACTCACTCATCTACCTTTTACTTCCAAAAACAACGAACTAGACGAACTCTGCAGGTATGTATTTCAGTGTGATTGCAAATAACAATTTCATGGCAGATAGTATTCAGAAAAAGTTGTGAATGCTCCGACAGGGGTAATTTATGTTTATGTTAATTGGAATGCACTTAGTCTTGATGTATTTCTCGGTGGTGTGAAAGAAACCTTTCTCTTGAATAATATTCTCCAGCACAGCTGTTAAATAAAACAAGCGCAGTTTTGTGAACTGATAATTAACTTTAAAGGTTATTAATTATTATTTTGAATTATTATAATTAATTATATTATTACTACATTAACAGCGTTTCATGTCGATATTCTAGTTTTATAAGGCAAAAGCCCAGTGCTCTAATCTAGATGATTTCGGTACATATTTTGTTAAGTAACGTAATGAATAGCTCAACTTTAGATCGGAAAATCCAAGTTTCAAATTTCTTCAAACTCCATGCAATAGCATATGTTTCTCTTTCAATAGTAGACCACGATTGCTAAGCTCGAGTTAACATCTGACTTGCATAAGCTATGGGGTAAATGTGTTCATTGAAATTTTGAGACAAACATACTGTAATTCATATTTGACTGGCATCACAATTTATAATGAATTGTAGCCCTCATACTGGTGTATATAATAATGTAGCTTTAGTCAGAGCATTCTCAAGTTTCTCAACAGCTAAGTCATGCTTTTCCTTTCATGGTATTTGTTCAGGTATCTTCTTCTTTGTAAGTTCAGTAAGTGAATTCGCTAATTCAGAATATTTTGAAATATAGTCTCGATAATACACTCATGCCCATAAATTAAGGATAATTCGGAGTCACGCGGAAATCGAACTCTAAAATAAATATATCACCTGTAAAATCACTACACACATCTTCAAGAATCATATGCAAATTTCAGGAAGTAACCAGATGACACCGATGGTACGTCACACTGACGACAGTGTAAGAGAGTGATATATTAAGAAATACAGGCAAAGAAGTAAAATTGTTCGCAGGCTCTTTATAAGCATTTCACTGCTATAACCGAATAGTTATGACACAAAGGACGCATTTGGATGATTTTTTACGTGGCAGAATTATCGGTCGTCTGGAATGTGGGCATACCCAACTGGAAGTATCAGACGAACTTGGAAATGCCCAGAGTGTCATCTCCAGGCTTTGGCAACGATTCCAAGATGATGGTAATGTGAGTAGACATTACAGCACAGGTCGCCCCAGAGTTACAACGCCAAATGAGGACCGGTATTTGGCAGTTACTGCCAAAACAAACAGGTGGAGCACAGCCTGAGACCTGTCCTCGTCAGCTCTCTTCAGCCACTGGTACGACAATTTCAAGGCAGACCGTGTACAGACGCTTAGGGCAGATTGGTCTTATATGTTCGTAGACCTGTCAGATGCGTTCCACTTACTGCAACTCACTGTCGCCTGCGGTTAAGCCTGGAGTAGAGAGCATGCACTGTGGACACCGCAACAGTGGGCTTGTGTGATGTTTTCCGACGAGTCCAGGTTTAGCTTGCAGTCTGATTCTCGCCGGACTTTCACATTAGAGCTCCAGGTATTCGTTACCACCAAGAAAGCATCATTGAACGACACCGTTACGGTGGTGTAGGAGTGCTCGTTTGGGTGGAATTATTCTGGGTTCCAGAACTGACCTTCATGTTCAAATTGGAATCATGACAAGCCAAATCTATCGGGATCGGGACGTCATTCTGGAACAACATGTACATTTGTTTCGGGGTGCCATGGGCGCACAATTTGTGTTTATGGATGACAACGCCCGTCCTCACCGTGTAAACATCGTAAGGGAATGCCTTCAATCGAAAGATATCATCGGTATGGACTGGCCAGCATGCTCACCGGACTTGAATCCAGTAGAACACGCGTGGGACATGCTTGGCCGACGAGTTGCAGCCCGTCAACTTCCTCCTACATGTCTACCGGAACTTCGGAGAGCATTGCCTTTGAGTGGTGTAATATCTCTCAAGATCAGATCGATAATTTGATACTCAGCATGCCTAGGCGTTGTACGCCTAGGCATGCTGTATTGCATCGTCTGGGAGACATACAATGTATTAACAATCATACCAACCATGTAATATTGGGTTTTTGTAAATAGGTTGTTTTTTCTGTAATTTGCTCCAGGGAGAAAAAATCGCTAATTTTTTTAATATCAAACATATAGCATCTTTTTTTGCTCTTTACCTTTTGTTTAATAAATAAGCTTTACAAATAAGTCAAATTTGTTTTGCTTCTAACTCTTCCTTTACCTGATTTTGCATTATCCTTAATTTATGGACATGAGTGCAGTTATTTAGAATTTGCTTTTATCTTCTCAGGACCCCTTGATGTTTTCTAGAACTAATTACATGACCCAAATATTTGATTTGTGGTTTTTCAAAATCACATTTGCTGATATTGACTGTAAAGCAAAGCTCTTCCAACTTGGCGATTAACAATCATACGAGATTTCTAATCTCTTGAAAAAACTCCGTTGTCGTCAACATATGCTCTGGGAGAGTCTCTGTATTCATAGAGTGATTTATTGATTTCCTTTTGAAATGTTTCTGCAGCACTTTTCAGGATAAAACTCGTAACTTTAAATCTGTACTGTTGTCGATGGGTTTTAAATGAAGTGTAATCATGACTTTCAGGATCTATGGGAATAGCTCAATAACCTCGTAATAAATCATGTTGATATTAGCTAATTTTATGGAATATGTACGTTCTGCTGCACTTTACATAGGAAAATCATCAGTAATTATTGCAGCATTTAATGCATGAAAATTAACAAATAGTCGAATTCCTTCGTTTTTCTTGTTCACAGAAACTATAGCATAGGTAATCTCTGCATTGCTTTGTTCTATTAAATCAAGTTCTAACAGCTCTTCAATTTGTTTCTCAACTTTGGCTTTTACAGTTTCAGGAATTCGGTAAATACTCGGCTTTTTCCTTTTTTCGTTGGGTTTTAATTTTATTTTGTGACAACCCACTTCCGCGTGCTTTCTTATGAGCTGTCAAAGCTGCAGTTGTTGATCACTCTTAAATTTTAAGTTGCAATTTCCGTAGAACAATTTTTATACCACTGGGACACCTAGTCCACTGGGACATTGTACGATCCAGTTGTGCCAGGTGTCGTTTTGTACACAATTAATGACACTAAGATTAATTTTCCCATTTATTTACAGCACAAACGTGGATTATATACACTTTACACAAATATAAAATATGTTAATTAGGGGAGGATTGCTGATTACGAAACCACTACATTGAACATTCGGCCACTCTCTAAATCACACTTTTCCTCCACTTACAGGGCGCTACTTACTTTTAGGAGTTTGGGTTTGGGGGATAAGCTTCTAGACATATGATGTAGAGTGACTTTGCTTACAACCTTCCTAGTTTTTAAGAGAATATCTCAAGCATTAGAACCTGAAGATATTGTAATTTTCGTTCTGTTGCTATTAATCGCTTTTGATTTAGAATGACATGTTTTAAATGCCACATATTCTGAAGGACTCAATACCTTGCAAACATTCATGTTTTATCCGAGATTTGGACCACACGAACAGACTGGATTTCATGAATTATCATTTCATCCAAGATATACAAAGTTCTATTATTGACTATTAGATATTTAGTAACAGCTTTTTTCTGTCTCTTCTTGCAGCACTTCTATATTTTTTTTGTACATTTTGTTTTGCTTTTTTTGCCTTTGTGATTGGATTGGGTAGTAGGAAATGCAAAAAATTCCGAGCTATCTAAATTTATAAAATTCGCACACTATGTAAAGTTGATAGATGCAAAATAAATGAATAATTACAATAACTTATTTTCATTTCAGCCAAGCAATCCATGGCTATAACTGTTCAGCAGATGCCATAACATCAAATTGCCTGAAAGGAAAAGATAGCGAAATCGTGCCTTTGTTCATAGATATGGCTCAATATACTTTCTTAATGATGTGTGGTAACGGTTATGACAGTCGAGGATATTTAGAAGAAGGTAATAAAATGTTTATCTGTATGTAACTTTCATAGAGTAAAACAATTGAATCTTTGTCAGACAGTTCGACCAGGCCTCAACAACCAAATGCTATGAAGAAGGTATGATTCGGGCCCAGGAGTTTTGAAACGGCTTTGATGAAACAAGTTAATAAACGGTTTAAAAACAAAAATTTTAATTTAAGAATTTTACACGTAAATTTATTCATCTATTGTGTGTTAATATGAAGTTTTCAGTTACCAAGCAGTTAAAATATGGAATATGGGAAGATCAGGAAATATTTCTTTTTTCTGATTCCAGTTTTTATTCTGAGTATAATGAAACTGGAAGTAATTTAGTAGTAGTAGTCGTAACGGAGGACGTGGGGAGACAGCCAGAAAGAAGTACAGGGGGGCACCAAATCATCGCCATGGGCAAAACTGGTATCGCCCCACTGCACTAACCATCTATGGAAGTGCACCCTGCCAGGGCACGCTAACGCCATGCTCGGGCATTTGTTTACATTGCAGCATTCATAATACACAGTTTATATTAATGGTGCATAATTCGTATATATATATGTAAATATGTATAATATGTAAATATTGTATAATATGTAAATATATATACATATTTCTTTTGTGTTTCGGTCTGGAGCTCTGTTGGCGGGGGAGAGTGATTATGGTACATGGTTGGTTGTTTGTTTGATATTTTGGTTACACGGTTCACAGTTTATAAGTTCATTCATAGTACAGTTCATAGTTCAGCATACAGTTCATAGTTCAGCATTCATTTCATGGTACATAGTGTTAAGTACATAGTACTGGTGTATCTGTCACACATTGCACAATATGAAGTAATTCATAGTTCGTAGTTTGAGTAGTATGAGAAAAGTCACGGTTTCAATAAATGGGTATATTTAAGTGTGTTTACCAAAGGCACTCATGTATAGTGTCTAGGTGACAGTGGATATTCTTTATGTTGCACTTTCTGAACTTAGAGAATTATTTTGGGCTGCAAGCTATGAATGGCACAGGTCCAGTCCTTGGCGGTGTAGGAAATCAATAATAATTTTGATGTTTTGGAAAACTTTACGGTGCTTAATGATGAATCTTATAAATTCTATTCCAGTATCGGTGGGATGGCGAATGTGATGGGCGGACACTGAAACATGCTATGTTCAGGGTCTTCGCTTTCCCCGCACATGCATCTATCCGACGTAGCCACATTGCGATCATAAAAATATTTGGGGAAGAGACCGTGACCCGAGATGTACTGGTGAGGAAGTAGGTTGATATTGTGGTATTTTCATCAGCCTTGGGTAGCATTTCGAATGTACGTCATCCTTTTGGTCCTTGTTACCATTGACGTTGCCACTTTTCATTCACCATTTGTTTTAGTTTTTACTTTAATGCTGATTTAGGTTATGGGACATGAATTTGAGATCCTGTTTGTTATAAAGCTACTTGTTTTGCTAGAAAATCGGCCCTTTCATTGACTTCACAGGCATTGTGCCCTCTGGCCCATGATAGGACAAATTTCTTATCACTTGTGCTTATGACGTCTTGAATTTGCCGGGCTATTAGAGAATTTGTGTGCTGTTGTTTGATGGCATGTATTGAAGATTGACTGTCGGTGATTACGTGGATGGTATCTGTTTTTAAGTCACTAAGTTGCATAATGCTGTTTAGTATGGCTATAGGCTATGCTTGATATAAGGTGTTTAGCGGCCGAAGTTAACTTGCCATTTGGAATGGAGGCATGTTTTTGTTTTTATGGTGACACCGTTTCCTACCTCATGTTCGATCTTTGAGCCATCCGTGTACCGCTTCTTGGCCTTTTGGCTAAGATCAAAGTGTAGCCATCCGTGTATGCAATAAAATCAGTTGATGACGGTGGCTTGTTGAAGTTCCAATGGATATTGTGAAGACCCAGAGCGGGATGTCTGTTATATTTCGGTAAATTTTCTTCATAGTCTTGTGGATTGAAAAACACGCCGTTGTACGTGGAAGTTTTCTTGAGTTGTAGAATCATTGTGGACAGTGCGTCGATTTCTGTTTGAATTGGTGATGGTGTCCCCCCGGCTAGTAATTTCAGGGCGTTGGTAGAGGTTGTTGAGAATGATAGGGTAATATTGATCAAGAAAGGTCTTTGAATTCAGTTAAAAGTCCGAAATTTTCTCGCTGTCATGGGAAAGACCCAGATAGCAGCTCCGTAGGTGATTATTTTATTGATTACTGTCTTTAATAGAATTTTCATAATGCGATGATTAAGGCCCCAGGAATATCCCTTCATGGCCCTAATGCTTTTGCGATTTTGGCGGTTGTTAGCTTCTTTTTCTGGGGATGGGGTATCCAATTGAATTTCTGGTCTATGGTGAGTCCTAAGTAATTAGTGGTCTTCACACATTTTATTTTATTGTTTCCAATTCGCAGCGTGGGGTTCTTGGTTATTGTTTGCCCTGGCTTGTGTATTATAAGTGCGTGCGATTTTATGAGTGATATTTGGAGTTTTATTCTATGACAAAGGTTGTTGAATATATTAAGGGTGTTTAACAAACATTCTCTATTCGTAAAAAGCAAATTTAAAGTTAATAAATTTAAATGAAATTTAATGTAAACAAATAAATGATTAATTATTGTTGCAAGCTAATTTACAATATCATTTAAATTCTGAATATGTAAATCAAGTGCAAGTATCAAAATCCATGAATAAATATAAAATTCCAAAAATTATTTAATCCTAAAAATTTATTTATAAAAATGCATAAGTGAATGAGACAGACTTATCAAGGGAAAGTTGCCTCCAAAACTAACTCTTCAATCATTTAATTCGTGTTTCGTCATCCATGAGACAAGGATAAAAGTCAAAACCAAAAGTAATACCAAATGTGGTGAATTACCAAAAAGAAATTTAAACAAGTGGAATTTTGAGAAATTAGCAATTAAAAGACTAGAAGTAGAAAACCAAATTTTTAGAAAACCAAAGTAATTTAGAAACTTTTGCCCTCAGAAACTTTCCCGACACGAATTATGCATATAAATCAAAAAAGAAACTAGACATTATCTATAAAAAATAATACGTAAATTATACTTAAATAATACTAAAAAGACAAGTAAATAGTAAGTTTTAATTTAACGTACCAACTATATTTGTTTATGGGAGTGGAGAAGCATTGCCAATCTAAGTGATGTTAAGTAGTGTGTTCTGCAAACTTTAAATAGAGGCCGCTAATGTAAGGTACAGTTGAGTGTAAAGCTTCTATCTGTGATCAATTTAAAAAACCTATTCTGTAAACTATTACCACATATTAAGTTATGTAAAATGTGTGTTCTGTTGTAAAAATGTGCAAAAAAAATGTAAAATGCAAACTGTAACGTTATGTGAAAAAAGTTGCAAACTATTAGAGAAAGTAAAATATTAAGGATGTAAAAATTGAAAATGTATTTGAAAAAAATTATGAATAAAATTATTTTGAAGTAAAATTTAATTTTAATTTAGATTTTGAAAATTTTTTAATGTAATATTAAAAGTGGATTTCAACTGGTTTAATCAAAACTTAACTAAATACTGGCCAAAAGTAAGGAAAATTAGAAAAAGATAAAAATCTACTTTTTTACCCTTGCCTACATGGATGACGAAACACGAATTGAATGATTGAAGAGTTAGGTTTGGAGGCAACTTTCTCTTGATAAGTCTGTCTCCTGCCTACTCAGCAATCATTCACTTATGCATTTTTATAAATAATTTTTGGAATTTTATATTTATTCATGGATTTTGATACTCGCTTGCTTTTTACGAATAGAGAATGTTTAATTTAGTAATCAAACAATAAAAATCAGGGTAACTTCTAAATTAATATTTGTTCGGCGTGCTATTGTATCTTAATTATAGAATGTTTGTTAAATTCAAATTTAATTCCTTGCAGCAATGGCGCAAGAGAATTATTTAAAACTAAATTTAATTTTACTTTCTTCTTAAGGGTGGTGCAGTATTCCTCTAGTTGTCTTCGTGTAGATCCTTAGATTATGAAGGCAACATCGTCGGCGAAGTCTACAATCCGTGTGTAATTTGGCCACTGATGATTGATAATATTATTAAAGGTGATGTTCCAGAGGTCCGCGATCCTACACGACCCTTGTGGACATCCTCTAGTTTGTTCTCTGGCGACTATGGTATTATCGTAGATTACTGTTGGTATTGTCGTAAATATCTGTTCTTGAGATACTCCGTAATCAAAACGTACAGTTTCTTGAGCACTACATCTCAATGAGGGCCTGCTTGACAGTTGGCCACCAGAGAGAGTCGAAAACGTTTTGCCTGTCAAGACATGCATTTCATTGCTTTTGTTTGCTTGTACTTGGGAGATTGCTATATCGATTGCGTGAGTGGTTGATCTTTTGGGTTTAAATCCATACTGGTTGATATTTATTCTATTGTCTTGTAGCTTTCCCATGGCTGGTAGTAGATTTATTGGTCGGTATGAGCGAGGGTCCTTGGGTTTTTTTTTGTTTTTCTTCGAGAACAGGCTGATTTGCCCGTGCTTAAAGCAGTCCGGGAAGCAGTTCTATTTCAGGCATTTAATGTAAAGATTTAGGAGTATTTCTGGGCTGACTTTACAGATTATCATTAAAACTGGATTGAAATCCCATCTGGGCCAGGTGTCTTCGCATTGTTCAGTGTTTTGACGAGTTGCTGTAATTCTTTGTTTGTAAATTCCCTGTCTTCTCGGGTCGCATATTTCACAAGTGCACATCTGTGTAGCCACCGAGGGAGTGGCTTCTAGGATGGACCAATGAGCATCCAGTAATATTTCTGTCATATCACATGACCTTTCGCGAGCTTTAAGATTTAAGCAAGATGGTTGAAAATATTGTGCTACGCAATTTCTGTACAAAATAATTAAAGCATCGTCCATTGCTTCTGAAACTTTTCATTGCGAAATTAAATCAATTATAGGAAATTATGAAGATTTCACTACCTGGTTGAAATAAATACAAACACATGTTGGATACTTCGCA